TGGCCCACAATGGCATATGCGACAACCACCACGATCAGCGCGGCCATCAGCAGGTACACGACGTAGCGGGGCAGGCGGATGGTGTCCAGGGCAGGGGGCCGGTATTCCACGTACAGCACCCCATCCTCCTCCTCCTCTGGGGCATACTGCAGCAGGCGCCGTGAGCCCAGCACACCGCCGGCTGTGCCATTGCTGGGGTCCAGGCTCCTGCTGCCAGCCAAAAAAGCATCTACCAGCAGGGCAGAATGAGCCATTCCTGACCCCTGCCTGGCTTGGTTTGACTTCTCGTCTTCGCAGCCCTCTGAGATGGCCCCCACTTTTTGCTGTTGCCAACAGCACAAATGGGCCCCTACACCCTAGGCCCTGCTGGCCGGAGGAACAGCCCAGTCAGCCCACTAGCCAGCCAGCAGCTCCACACAAGGTCTCAGTAGGTGAGTCCAGGAGACCGGGCCAGGGTGAGAACAAATGTCCCCACAGCTGGAGAGATGTGGGGAGCAGGGCATCAAATAGCACAGTGGTAGTGGCAGATTGAGGGGGACAGCGCCCTGCTAGTTCAGTGGCAACTCCTCAGGACTGTCCGGTGCATGGGGGTCCCCCTCTGCCTGCCCCCAGCGTCAGCTCAGCACACCCCACGCAAACAGGAGCAAAGCTGGAGCCAGGCAAAGTTCCCTTGGTGATCGAGGTCTGCCGTGCCGTGCACAGCAAGGAGAGGAATTCATCTGGATGCCGGCAGCTCACTCAGGGGCTCTTCCAAGTGTTCCTCCACACACAGCACGCAGGAGAGGGGTGGCCTTCAGCCACATGTCAGGGCAGGCCAAAGGCTGAGCAAGGGGGCAGCCTGTGCCCCTGCCCAGACTGCACCAGGAGGGAGCAGGGTGCTGCCCTCCAGCCACCCTCCAGCAGGCAGCACTCAGCAATAAAAAGACAATAATGCAGCTGCCAGGATGAGCTTAACCCCAGCTAATCCACCGCTGGATCCCAGCCAGCCCGTGGGGGGAGTCGGCCGCCCCCGGCCTTCACACTTTGCCTCTGATGCAATGAGAGAGGAAGGGCAGGATCAAGCCAGGATCCCAACCTGTCTCAAGCACAACTGAATCCTGGGGTGCCAGCTCCCTTGCAGATTGGTGCCCACAGGAGTAGCCCACCAGGGCACAGAGCAACAGGCACTGCCAAGCTCTCTGGTAGCAGGTACATCTGCCCAGCTCCTTCCACCCGAACTGCAGAGACCCAGCAGGGGACCCGTTGCTGCTGTTGCTTTGTGGGCATACCTGGCTCACTCCAACAAAGCCCTGGGCACTGGAGAAAATCCCAAGTTTGGGAATTGGGGTGGGGCAAGAAAAGGAAGCTTTTCCTGACTGCTTCCCCAAGCTAGTCTAAATCCGTCACCTGGGCCTGAATCTCTGGAGCAGATGGCGTGAAATCCAGCCAGGGATGCACTCGGACCCAAGGCAAGAGGATTGCCATCTATTTTTGACACAGGGCTGACAGAGGGCAGGGGTGGGGGACAGGATGAGGGACTCCACGAGGGCAGGGCAAGGCAGCTCTGGAACAGTCACACCTGCCAGGAACAAAGGCTTGTGCACTCAGAAGAGCAGAGTGCAGGGTCAGAGCTGAGCTGGTTTCTTGCTGGTGCCAAGGAGCATGCTTCCCTGTTGGTGTGGGAGAGACACCCTCTGTCCTTCCTGCCATCCCTTTTGCCCCCATTTCCCTGCTCCTAGATTGAAACAAAGAGTATTAAATAAGCAAAGAAAAAGGAAAAAAAAAAAGCCAAGATGTTCCTGACTGGGGAGGGGAGATGTGATCTGCAGTCTCCTGGCAAGCGCGCAGTCATCTCATTCAACTGTAGATCTCATGTGAATTCTGCAGCTGAAATTGGCTGGAGCAGGAGCTTTGCTCACCACCCTCCGCATGGGAAGAACAAGTGGGGGTGGATTTCATGAAGGCCTTTCCTGTCTGGCCCTGGCTGCCCCTCTGGGGCTGACACAGCCCATTCACCAGCACACGGCAACACCGCCCAGCCAACATTCCCAGAGGAGTCCAGGCTGCTATGAATCGCCCAAACTGGAGAAGACAGCCAGCCAGGGGTGTGAGCCTTACAGCTCACCTGAAATGACACTAGCTCTAGGTGTTTGTGAAGCAGCATTTGCCAAGAGCCAGTGTGTAGGCCGTCAGCTAAGCCCTAAGCACAGCAGGGACTTTGCAGCTCAGGGGTTGCACCAGCTTCTCTTCTAGTGCTTCGTACCTCCACATTTGGACTTCATGCCACACTGGAAGTCAAGGGGTGCAGGATTCCCGAGTTCTGGTCTAAGCTGCGCTCCTGTCTGGCTGTGTGAACTAGGGTGAATCACTTCCCCAGCTGTAAGGATTCTGAGAAGAGGGGAGCCCCAAGCTAAGTCTTAGGGTCACTCGTGTGCCAGACAACCGCCCTAAGCCCCAGCACTAGGGCATTAGGCTCTGCCAGGCAGCCCTTCCCCCAGAGAGCACGCTGCAGATTGCACCAGACTTGGTTCCCATTTCATTCCATCAGGTACCAAAAAGCAAATGTTGAAATCCTGACAGCGTCTGTGAATGGGGACTGCTGCAGCCAACTCCCATCTCCCCAACACAGGCCATGGGAGGCAGCAAGGCCCAGGACCAGATTTGTACATCTGAGTTGGCTTGGCCCTGTGGCTGTCACAGAGCTCCTGCATGCCACCCACCTGCATGCCAGCCCCCAAAGGATGACAGGCACTGGAGACTTGCACCTCCCTCCCCCGCAATGTGGGAGGACACCAGAGCTGGACACAGAACGTAGTGGCTGCTCCCAGGAGAATGGCTGGAGAAGTATCAGCAGGTTTACGTGCTAAGCGGATTGAGGATGGAGAATGAATCATAAATGGCTTTTGCCAAGTGAAAAGCATCTGTGAATAAAATGAACACAGCTGCTGCCTTGTGCCCCCTGCCCCCAAGGCAAGAACTGCAGTGCCAGGGCCTAGCACTGGGGTAGCCCAGACAGACAAGCCCAGGAAGCCCATCCTGAGCTGTCTTGCCCTAGGCCACATTGCAGCTGACTCCAAGCACACACCGGTTAGTGCTGAAATCAGGGCTTCCCCATAGGACGACACAAGTGTTTGAGGGCAGTTTGAGGGGGGAGGCAGGTTTGTCATGGGATTCAGCTAGTTCTGTATTCTAAATTAAACCACCTGCTTGGAGCCCTGCTCCCAGCTGCCCTGCACTTGGGGATGCCACTTTGTAGCCTCCACTGCTGACTCTAGCTCCACACAGGCCTTTACTCCGGATTTCATCACAGCCCTGGCTCCCTCCATCAAGTCTGCACTGCCCTATGTTCCCCCACTGCCCTGGGCCAAGGTCCTCCACCCAAGCACATTTAAGTGCCAAGCACCCCCGAGCTAACATACCACTTGGCCCATAGCCCCTTCTCTCTGTTCATGCACTAGGACCCCCTCCCCTGACCTCAGAGGGGTCACATAGGAAACTGAGAGTGTTTCTCAGCAGCCGTCTGTGCAGCAGCCAGTGCCATAAGGCCCCACTCAGGGAGGGAAGCTGGAGCACCACAGCACACTCAGGGTGTGAGCATGGCAGGCTGGACTGGGTGAGAATTGGGCTCCCCTCAGTCCCATTCTAAGGCAGTGGTTCTTGACCATGGGTGGCAGAGATGCTGCAACAGCAAGCATGCACACACCCAATCCCTACTGCTCTTGGCTCCCTAGGCTGCAGCACAGGAAGGAAAAAGCCCCTCAGGGCAGCAAACAGGTGGACTAAGGGCCCCTGACATGTCTGTGGCACTTGTGATCTGGAGCTAGTGCACATGGAAGTGGCTCAAGCACCACTACCAGTGAAGACCACACAAGACATGGGCAGGGGCAGTGGGCTGAAAAACACCAATCCAAGGAACCCGCAGGTCCAGTCATTGCTGTTCTTCATGCTCTGCTGCGTATGGCAAGGCACTCAGGCCCCATGAAGTCAGAGGGAACCAGGAAGGCGCGTCCACCCACACAGGGACAGAGAACAGCCCCACACCTCACTCAAGAGACAAAGGACAGAATCAAGTATTGCAATGCCATTTATTCCCCTGCAGCATCTTCCCACACCTCATCAAAAACAAGCTTTTGGTTTGTTCACAAGGACACCTAGGAATGCTATCTGCTCCAGACAGCGGCTCTAAGAGCCTTACACAACAAAACACCTCAAGACAGCTGTCTGGCATCTCCCTCTTTGGCATACCCAACCCAAGAAGACAGAGCTGTGAAGGGCACTGCCAACCCCCTGCAAATGGCAGGGTTTTGCAGACAGCAGGCAGACATGACGACTCCTGCTCCTAGTCACCAGTCCTAGCATGAGCCTAGCGGGCTCCACAGGGGTATAGTTAACATGAGGCAGTGGTAGCCTCCAGCCCGGGCCCAAACAAAGACTACAGCAATTCCCTCTAACACTAATTTAAAAACTCAGAGATACTGCAGCCAGGCACCCATGCACGGGACTGGCCTTGCTTGGGGGATATAACCCCCAGCTGTTGTTTACAGGAGCTTGGGAACTGCAGCAACCCCCATTGCTGCCTGTGCATAGCTCCTTACAGAATGAAAAACTCAGGCCATGCTTCCAGTTTTACCAGGAAACAGGCTCACTGAAGGGCAACATGAGTCCCCAAGAGCACAGAACTGAGTCTGCAAGGCACCAGGACAACTCAGGAAGATCAGGTTCTTGGCATGGGAGGGATCCAGAGACACAGGCCTGCTCAGTGGCACCAAGTCTATTACAGCAGGAGTGTGTCACTGGGGTAGCCACCAAGCATCCTCTACTAAGCTGCTGCAGCAACTGCTATGAAAGAGAGCTAGCCCCCTGCCAGGCCCATGGCACCAAGGCATGGAGAGAAATACATCACCTCCAGAAAGGCCCATGGGGGGTGGAGGAGAGGGCAGCCTTGCAGCTGAGCTTTACCTGACACACCAAGTACATAATAGCAGCAAAGCTGGAGGCCAGACAACAGACAGAGAACGGAGCTCTGTAAGGATGAATCCCTGATGGCGTAGAGTTCCAGACAACCTTGAGGCAAAGAACAGACCCCTGGAACAACTCCTGTGACACACAAACCAGCACCTTCAAAGAGCAGCGCCCCCTTGAAACAAGCACAGGATCGATCCGTGCCCTGCCTGGAGCTCCTGCCTTGTCTGTATACTGAGCTAATACAGAGCAGTATGCTACTGCTAGGTGCTAGCAGGCTGAAGCTCTGTCCAGAACCCTGGCACCCCCGGGCTCGGATCTGGAGCCTGGCCCATCCCTTAGACTAAAACAAACAAGATATAATAAGTTAGCAGTAGTGGCTGATGCCTGGAACTCCACTGCTCTGCACCATGTGCTGCCATTATTTACACAGGGCAGAGTGACCAGCTGGATCTGGCATCACACCCAGTTTTCTGTGGTGTAAATGGCTGTGCAGGGGTGAAACCAGGCCCTGGGTTTACCCATTCCAGCCACTGCCTTCTGCAGGCGCACGGACCCACAGAGGCAGAAACCCCTGCTTAGCTGGAGGCCTGAAGCTTGCTTAGCCCATCCGCATACTGGAACTCTGTGCTGTTCTCATAGTTGTACATGTCCAGAGCCACCTCACAGCTCTCCCGCACCACCCGCTCCTTGTCCTGGGCGTAAGCCCGCAGGGTCTCCAGGCAGGATGCCTGGGCGATGGATCCCAGTGCCTCAGCACACTCGTGACGCACCATGGGGTTCTCCTCTACTCTTTCCAGCGCAGCGGTCAGCTGGGGGACACAGGCCTCATGCTGCATTTGCCCTAGGACGTAGCCGATCTCATGTCGGAAGAGGGCGCTGCTGCACTTCAGGCCTGTAGAAAGCAGGAAAGGGAGAGTGAAGAACTGGAGCAAACACACCATGAAGGGCCATCAGTATTGCAAAGCATTGTGGGGTGCTGGGCCCCATCTTGCACTGCTGCAACCACTCGTGGGGAAGGCAGCCAGAAAGAGCCCTTCACTAAAGGGGACTCCAGAGCCCAGGAACTGGCAATGGGTGGTGTATGAATGAGTTCAAATCCAGCTCATGTCACCCAGAGGCGTGGTGGTCAACATGAATGAGTCAGGTGGGTCTCAGCCTGCGTCTAACCTTATGGCTTCTGTTGTTGGAGTAAAAGTAGTCAGGGAGGAGGTATTATGTCAGGGTCTCCAAGAGTCTGTCCTGGCCTGGGTCCAGTATTCATATTTTCATCAATAATTTAAAAGATTGGATTGAGGGCACACTTAGCAAAACAAAAGTTTAAGACACACTGGAGGGTAGGACCAGGATCAAGAATGACTGGAGAAATTCCCCCCACCTTCTCCCATTCAAAAGAAGGGAAAAAAAATCAAATGAAATTCAGTGAGGACAAATGCAAACTCCTGCCCTTCAGACAGAACATCCACATGCAAAAAAACAGACTGGCAAACAACTGGCTAGACTGCACTATTGAAGAAAGGACCTCATATTTATTGTGGACCACAGGC